GTTTGACCAAAAGATATGCATTGATTGGATTCGCCAAATAGGAAGCCGTGTCTTTGGATGCGATCACATGGAGTTGCGAGTAATGTGTGGACAGATGTCTCAATTGAGACAATCGTTGTTCTTCGGCTAAAATGTATTCCTCGAGAGAGCCGACGATCTGTTTCTCTGTATTCAATAGTTTCTCCAAATGTACTAAAGCTGTGAACAATTCACTCCTTATTACAGGAATTGTCACTAATATGTGAAACAAACAAAACAACCACTCGTTTGAACACCACTTCATTGTCGACCACAAAGAGTACCGGTTGTGGAGGAATGGGTGCGGCCTTTGTGTCCTATCAACTCATTCACCAACACTTTTACCACGATTTACACTCACTTACAATAATTACAATCACTTGTCATTGCATTCAAACGCGTGTTTCGAGTCTTGTGTCCGCTCTTTGTGTCCATTAAATCACTTCGAGTGACAATTGGTTGCAATTATCGCTGAAATGACAATACATTTGATTCATAAACAGTTGGATTGAAAACACATTTTTAAGTCATTAAAAGTTTGTTTATTTAAAGATCTTTTCACCCATTCATCACATATTGTGTAAACATTTAAGCAGTGATTGCATTCATAATACAAATAACGGCTTAAAACTCGTTATGATTAAAGCATTGATTACCATTCATAGGGTCTTAAATGCAACTCAACTCAACTCCACATCATTTATGCGCTAACTTTACGTAACATTTCGTAAAATTCTTGTATATTCTGTAATAAATTACGGCTTTATTTGAATATTTGCATCGAATTGAAGCCATTATTACATAATTATTGCACAAAATACTAGAATTTTGTGCAAAAGTATACGAAACTAAAAAAGAGGAGTATTTGTGACCACAATTGTGGACACCATTGAGACATGCATTGCATAACAATGCGGTAATGGAGTAGAGTTTGGTTGCGACCAGATTTGTGGCAGACATGCAATCGATGCCATCATATGATAGAAACGTAAACAATATTTTTTGAATGACTTTTAGTTTTGCAAAACATATCAACAAAACTCGTGAACCAAATGATGACAATTGTCTTCTAGAAGATGTCAAGTGATGGCCAGAATCCGCTTCATATCTATAAAGAGACGTTAATTCCGTTATTAGAAGAGAATGGCTTTGAAGTGATCTCTTCCTCCGAAGACATCTGTGACCACAACAGGTATATAACGAGACATCGGTTTGTGAGACAAACACCTCTTCGTCCCGACTATTGGCAGAAGAATGAGTGTCCAGTCGTGGAAGTGGTGGGCATTCCTATGGGTCATCACTTCCTTATAATTCACGCCATTGTCTGCCATTCGGCCGAAGATTGCGTTAAGATTAAGATCAAGACTAAAGAAGACATTGTTTGCATTCGACGTAAACTAATGGATGAATTTGTGGTCAAATTAATTGAATTGCTTTCGATTTCGATCAATGATTTGCCGCTTGAGTTGAAGTTCAAGATATTGTCGTTATTACCCATTGAATCGCTATTCAAGATGTCTTCGGTGTCCTCTCTATGGCGAGCCATCACTCTTGACGACCAGTTGTGGAGAATTCTTGTCAGACAACACTTCCCAGTGTTTTACAGTCGAGGACTCAATGGTCAGTATATTTAGACGTTATAATTGACTATCGATTCAATAAAATGTAAATTAAATGTAAATTATAATGATTTGAATGAAAGGCGAGGACTGGAAGTCGGTATATAAGGAAGCGTTTCGTAACCGAAAACTCTTAGAGCGCCGCAAGTCGTGGGCGTCTCGAGGTCTGCCCTCATCGCTCATATTCCCAGCACTGCCGCCGTCTCCGCCACTGTTGCCGATAATGGGTCCGCCATTTCTCCCGATGCTTCCGCCGCCGCCCCCTTTCTTTAGAGATCTGGTGCCCGAAGAGGTCCGCAACGCCTTTCCTAACATTCATAGACCTAACCCTATGTCCCGACCCTTTATGTTCGGTAATCCCGATCTAATATGATATGGTTTCTCAACTGTTGGACTCTTTTTCACATCACTTACTGTATATCACTTTTATTATATACTGTATTAACATATTTATCATTATTTGAGGTATTGTTCAGATTATGACAAACATTTGAATCGATTATTATATTGTTTTGGAGGATTGGTCTGATTTTAATATTATATTTAAATTGGATTTTTGCAATATATTGTTAATTAAATATAATTATAATTTGTAAATAAATAAATTGTAGATTACTTTAAAAATGATTACATTTTAAGTTAATTTATGGATCACTTCTGTATAAATATAAAATATTGTATTTACTTCTATTAAACTACAAATAAATATTTCATAACTTAAACAGGGTACTAATTTAAAATGATAGAATATGTCTAACATGGATTGAAAAGCTGTGGATTAACAGCAATTTAGATAATGCGAAAAATAAATGTTCAAAATAGCTGTTTTAGAAAAATTAGATTTTATTTTACTCTCATTTTAAATGTCAAATGAAAGTTATCCAATAAAATAACAATTTGTGTACAAAATTTCGATTTAAAATGTCTGATTGTGTATAAATTGAAGTAATTACATTATATCTATTGATACTATTGATACAATTCCCTCATGATGGATCTATGCTTCAAATGGACTCCACTTGGAAGTGGCTCATTTTGTTGCAAAATATTGTCTCTGGGATTAGCTAACTCATATTTTATCTTAAAAATCAATTAAATAATATTATTATAAAATGATATTCACTATTAGAACACTTAATATTTATTATAATTAGTAGGATATAGAAAAAATGATCAAATTTTTGGAGGTTTATAAAATAGTTACTCAATTAATAAAGAAATTAATGTCCTTTAATCTCAATTTGATCAATAAATTAAATAATCTCAAAATTTTAACACATTATTAAAATATTTATTTATATTTTTTTATGACTTTAAACTTGAAATTTGGTGTAATTTATAAAAAAAATGTATACAATAATTATGCGCTAATTTATTTACTTATAAAGTAACAAACTTGAAAACCTCTTTGAACCATAACTTTCCTGTTGGCTATTGTTTGAAAGTAAATTAATTGAAACTTTTGATGTGTATTAAACAACAAACATTTTTTCAACAAAATATAGATAAGCTTTTGCAAAATTCATGACAACTCATGCAAAGCAACGCATACTTTATATAGGTTTTTGAGAAAGTGTTTAAATAAAATAACGATAATATTAAACATAATATTAAATTATTTAAATTTCCTTTGAAATTAATTTATGCAATACATAATAAATTATAGACTGATTGGTCTCAATAGTAAATAATTTGATCATTTTTAAGTAGATTTATTAGAAATATAATCAATGATAAGGAATTGACAATTGGTTCGCATTTCCCGTAACTTCAGTTCCACTTCTTTGCCTCTCAATTATTCTTCACAACAGAAAATGTGTTAAATTAGTTGTCATTTGTTAAACACAGACAAAAAATGTAGTCTTATTTAGTGACTCAGAATTTGTTGTACAAAAACCATATAAATAGAGAATCTAATTATAAATTACAAATCACTTGTTGTTTAGATGTTGATAAAAAGTTTTTGCTTATAATAAATCTGATTTACAAACTAGTGATAAATTGTAACAATGAATAAAGTGTTGCTTTTCATGGTAATGATGGCTCTATTGTTTGTCGTGAGCCACGGTATTGGTATCGGTGTTCACGCCGTGGGTCACGGCATAGGCAAAGGTCTGGCCATTAAAGGCGTGGGAGTGTTGGCGGCGAAGAAGAAGAAACTGTTGGCTCTGAAGAAACTGAAGAAAATCAAGAAATTGAAGAAATTGGCGGCACTTAAGAAATTGAAGAAAATCAAGAAACTTAAGAAACTGAAAGCACTCGGTTTGGGAGCCGGTTATGGAGGTCTGGCCTTTGGTTAGTGTATTGAGAGTTGTTGTTAACAACATATTGTATGAAATACTTGTAAATATTTTAATTTTGAAGCTATTAATGTAAATATTTTTGATATTTTACTAATTGGATTAAATAAATTAAATTGAATTTATGTGTACATATTTATTTGTAACATTCAGCTAACGGTCAATTTCCAATATAGACTTGTTTTAGACTATAATGAATTACATCTCGTCAAAAATATAAATAAAATTATATTTTGTTTATATTTTGTTTGTAAAGTTTATAATAATAAGTTTGTATATATTCTACAGTAAATTGATTTTTAAATAAAATATTTTATTTTTTAATCATTCAAAATATAAGAATTTTAAGTTATCATATTTACTATTTTAATGTATTTTAATTGGTTTAATAGGTTGTTCAGAAATTAATGTTCATTTCGGCCATAACTCAAAAACTAATCAAGATAATTTGAATCTGTCTTCAGATTATAATAGCACCTGCCCATGTCCACATCTCACCAAAAATTTATCAGG